TTACCTTTCCCAACCATTGCCTCTGCCTTGCTTGCTTTTGTTGCAAATGTAGCCCCATAATTGTCTAGATCAATGTTCAGCAGTCTTTCTTGCTGTGATGAGGCAGAAAACAAGGTTATGCTGTAGTTGCCATGGTTTCAAGGCAGCAGATTTCTAAAAAAAATCTCCTGCAAAGTCACAGACAGGAATGGTATAATCAACTTAAATTAAAACAATTTTTGTTTCACTGTAGATTTTAATTACCCTGCTACTCTCTCTGACAAAAGGACTGAGGAAGAAAAGAAGAAGAAAACATGGAGGGAACAAGCGACGGGGTGACAGAATGGGTGGAAAACAGGTTTTATGTGCCAGAGTGCTAATTTGACCCATTAAGGGATGTGCATGTGTGTGAGAGAGTGTGTGATGTGCTACCTGCCTAGTGAATATAAAGTCTCATTCTCACCCATCAAGGAGCATGGTGCAAAGGGTGAGAGTCATGTCTTGTTAAACTCCAGGCTTCAGCTGAGAAAAATCTAATTAGTCTAATTAGGTGTGTGCAACAGTCAAAGATGGAATGATTTCTCCTTTGTGACTTCCTTGCAGAGAAAAGTGAGAAAATATGTTTTTTTCTGTGAAAAGTGTGTGAAAATCTGTGCAGACACATCGATGTAATTGACAGATCAACATCCTACCTGCTAACTGCATTTGCCTGTGGCCTGATTTCTTCCGTGCTAACCTGTTCTATGGTCTATGCACCTGTTGATATAATAACTAATTTATGGTTTCTTGCCAGTGGAGCTGCTCCAAAAGTAAATGATTAACAGAATACCTCACTCATGTGCTTGCATAACAAGACACATTCTGTCTTGTTAAAGGAAGTTGGAGGCTTTGATGTTCTTCAATTCTATCAACCAATATGGTGAACATACACTGTACTGCCCTTCCAGCTCAGTATGTAAATATGTTAACATCTTTTGTATTGGACAAGTGATCCAGGGAACATTCAGCTTTCAGTACTGACCATAGTTGCCAGAACTCATGACCAGAATCAAGTCTCTGCATCAAGTAAAAGTCTGCTGTCATCAGTTGATTGGAGCCTTTACCATGTCTTGAAAACTCCATCCTCCATCCACACACACACACACACACACACACACACACACATGACCTTACTCCAGTTGGATTTCTTATACAACCTTCCCACATGGTATTTCTATGGTTTGTGCAGAAGGAGCTTCAGTTTAAGATAGAGTCAGGCAGTTCTGAAACGCTTATCAGGGTTTTATTTTGAAGAGTACAGTTGGACATTCCTGGAATGTCTGTAAAATCCATAGAAAGACAGGAAGTTTACAAAATGTGCATGAGGATGGAGCCGACTTTTACTTGATGCAGAGACTTGATTCTGGTCATGAGTTCTGGCAACTATGGTCAGTACTGAAAGCTGAATGTTCCCTGGATCACTTGTCCAATACAAAAGATGTTAACATATTTACATACTGAGCTGGAAGGGCAGTACAGTGTATGTTCACCATATTGGTTGATAGAATTGAAGAACATCAAAGCCTCCAACTTCCTTTAACATTTACAATTCTCCATACTTCTCCTTATACTGTACCTGCAGTCTTTTAAAAAAAGGAAGTGGAGGGCCAGTGGTGCTTGACAAAGATCCCTGCAGAAGTGAAACAAGCTCCAGAGTACAATATGTATCTGTGTGTGTCCATAGATCATGGTGTCTAATGATAGCTGTTTTGCTTTGAATAGCTGTCATTATTCCAAACAACAATTTGGGCAACTTTGGCAACACTTGTAATTCACAGGCTATTCGATTGAAGCTTTTCAGGAGTCATACACAAAAGAAATGCAATTTTGCAGCATGAATATTATACCTGGGTTCTAAAATGAAATCCTCATGCTGAATGAAAGTCATATTCTGTGATTGCGAACACTATCTCTTCTGGCTGACTTATGCAGTGACACACACACACACACACACACACACACACACACACACACACACACACACTAAAAGAAAGTGAGAGCAGGTTTTATGAGTAATCCTTGCAGCTGATTCAGGGTCTGTAATTGTAAGCAGCGCAGCAGGAAGTGAAGCAAGTCTCAGCTATTGACCAGCTTCAGTCTCACACTGAGCCAGAACACGGGGTGGTGGCACTGCTGCTGAGAACATCAATTTTGCTCTTTAGAAAAGGGGCACTGCTTGAAGACTGAAAGCAAATCAACAGTACTATCGACCCAGACAACCCAGCCCTGTAAATTGCCCTCAGAGAGACGAACAAAACAACAAAAACCATCACTGGTCTTTTATTGACAGCCAACGCTCTGGCTAGCACGCCTTATTTCCAGACTAGGATATGAATTAAAGACTCAAAAGAAAGGCTTGATAGACCATTCAGACACATACAGTACAACAGTACTTTAGCTCAAACATGACTGTAAACCAGAGGTTCCCCAGTTCTGACAAACAACAGCAGCAAACTCTTCTAAACTTTTCTTTCTGTATCACATTTTGTCAACACCAATACAGGTGAGGGCGTGGCTAAGAGATTATCACAGTGTTGAGTTACATTAGTCAACATCTGACTGTAGTAATATTGTGCAAACACTGCATTGCTGTCAACTCGTCTGCTGTTTTTTCCTTACGAGATTAGCTCAAATCAAATTCTTACTGCCTGTGTGTTATGTTACAACCCATTTCTGATCCTGATATCTTATCTTATCTCTTCTTTCACATGTCACAACAAGAAGACATATTGAGGCCTCGGTCATGTCTATCCAAGACCGTTGTTTTTCTCTGACATAATTGGGAACTGTGGAGACAGGCAGCCACCTTGAACAAACAAAACAGTTTCTCTATGCAGCTATCCCACATGTGGTAATTTGAGAAATGTCCTGGCCAGAGTATTAGTGTGGCTGTGTGTGTGTACACAGTACAGCACGTGTTTACATACTGTACATGCCAGAAAAAGAGGCTCTGTATGTGCAAATTCTTTTTTTCTGGACAACATGAACTGTGATGAATAGACTGTCAGTATTTTACATTCACATCCAATAAAGATTTGTGACAGAAGCAATGATCTTCTTATGTACAGAGTTGACAAGCAGGCCATGTGATATGGTCAAGAGCTCTGGTAAACAGAACTGGACCTTGACTTTAGAATATTTTATTATCAGTATCTAGAATTAAGCTCGGGGCTCAAATTTTAAAATGTGTAATGTACAGTATGTCTTTGCTACTGCATATTACAACCAATAAGAAATTAAGAGAGTTTTCATGATGAGGAAATGCATTATGAACATTCCACTGGGCAGGGAATGCAGGGAATTCCCTTTGTTCAACAGATGAAACAAAATGAACAGACTCCATGCTTCTTCTGCATCAACAAAAACAGCACCAAAAAGAAATGGGTGCATGGAGGTGAACATACCATGAAACTGCAAGACCCAGAGTTTGATTCTGGCTGGGGAAGCACCCTGCACTTCCTGTACTATCATTATCAAATAAAGGAAAACTGCTCACATAATAATCTTCTATAATGTGCATGGGTGCATCAAAAAAAAAAAAAATTCTGATTGCAATCAGAGTGCAGTGCTTTCTTCAAATGAGTGCACAAGAACCCCATTCACAATCAGGACCCACCAACAACATCCAAATTATTTTGTCAGTCACTACACCTGCTGGTATAGAATAGAACAGAATAGAATTAGTTCAGAGAATCGTGAGGTTTGTTGGTGCCACTTTACAACCAAGTCCTCTAAACTTTCAAAATCTTTACAGGCAATCTCTTGTTGCCACTTAGAGATGCTGGAGTGAAAAACACCCTTTCTGAACCAACTGAAAACAGGTGAGAGTGGAATGTTCATCTTCTGTATCCTCTGCTAGATAAAACATTAACATCACACAGCTTCATCTCTCATTTTGCCAGCTCCCAGGGTAATAATGTTGTCTGGAAACACACTGCAGCCAAGCTTTTTCCATCTCTATTTGCTTTCTGTCCTCATGCTTTACTCTCTCACCCCCTCCTTATTTATTGGGGATGAGAGGAGTGAGATAAAACAATAGGTAAAAGAGGCTTTCAGCCCTTCGGTGTTTTGTTTTGTACATTTTGAATGAATTACAGCAGCAGTGGAAATAATTGCTTGGCCCAGTTTTGAATCCATCTGCCATAGTGGCTTTCTGATTTGACGGGGAGGAAACAATGCAGGGAAAAAGGCACAGGAGTGTGTCACTGGCCATTAATATCCATAAAGGCAATTTCACAACACACCTAATGACATAAAATGAGTGACAATAACAGCTAGGTAATTACTATGTGTGTGAGTAGAGGTGGCAGCGTGTGTGTGTGCAGGGGATTAGAGTAGGGAGGTAATTAGGTTAATACAATATATTTCTCAGGAAATACAGTACATGAGGACAGTTTACCTAAGAGCTCCCCTGTAAAACCAGCTTACAAGAGTGTGTACATACCAGATGTAGCATCTAGGAAATAATTTCACTTAATTTGGATGGACAAATGGTCAGCCATGGTCAAAAGAACAAATGGACTCTAATATAAAGTGAATTTCCTAACTATAATTTAGATTTTGGATCCAATCTTGCCAGATAAAATTCAGGAACCGATTGTGATAGGATTCCTGTAGGAATAATCAGTGGCAGAAAAAAGTTAATGTTTATATCCCTTAGGCAAATACAACTACAAAACAAAACAAACAAAACATTACTTAAGTAAAGCAGGCGGTATCTACTGTAAAAGTAACCATTTTCATTGAGGCACAGTAAAACAGTGTTAAGTTACGACATATTAAAATTCCTATATTAATATTTGACTATTAGTACAGATCCATTAATGAATAAAAAATTTAAGATGGAGCAAAAATGTGTGGATTATAACATCTGTACCAAAATTATTAAAGCTATACAGCTTTAGAAAAACTTCCACATATGAAAAATAAATAATAAACAAGTTAACAACACTGTCAGCGCGAGCGCCTGGGGCGCTGTGATTTCTTCCGGGTTCCTGTCTCTGTTGGTATTGTTTGGGTGTATCAGCGGACGGCTCAACATGACAGAAACTCACACTCTGCGCTCGTAATTACGGTTTTTCTCTTACTTTTATGACGGCTCGGGTTAAAATAAGATGCCTTCTGAGGTTTTAACCAATTGTTTATCTCGGTAAAGGTGGACAAGTGACCTCACCGTGATTTCGTTCTGACTTGAGACACCTGTTGCTCAAGTTTCGATAGACAGGTGTCACTTTCTTTTCTCAGGGAACAGCTCCGGGTCGACAGACTATCGGAACCTTTCTTTATTCTCAAAACATTTAAATTCACAACTAGTATGAAAGTTACAGTGACCTTTGGGGACACCGCGGTGGTGGTTCCCTGTAAAGATGTACGGACCGTTCAGGATTTAGTCAACCAAGCCGAGCGCAGGTTCCGCAAGGTTTTGGAGCAGGTAAATATTCTTGAAACACGTCAGATACTTTATTTCTTTGAGACTCGCACTTTGTTAACCCTGGTGTTCTTACATTTAATGTTGTTTCGTTCCACTCATTCTTCACATTTTGTCGAGAGCCGTCTCCCATAACCTGTCTAAAGTGTGGGTCACGTGACATGCCTAATTTGGCAAGTAGGCTGTACTATTAGAGCTGGCCATTAGCTCATGGCGTAGGAAAGTCCTTTTATTTGCTTATACACAATTATTTATTTTGCGACTAAATCTAAGTACAACCTTTAAGTGTCTATCACAAAAGGTTTTGACCCCATTTTAGTGTTTTTAGCTAGTTTAGCCTTATCTGGTGTAGGAGAGGCAGCATCCTTGAACTTTTAATCCAGATATCTTTATATATATCTTAGTGGTGGCATAATTATGTAAAAGTGAGTAAAACATGACTTCTTTTGGCTTTGTATACTGAAGGATTAAGGTATCTTAGTGGTGGCATAATTATGTAAAGGTGAGTAAAACATGACTTCTTTTGGCTGAAATCTTTGTATACTGAAGGATTAATCCACCTTACAAACAGCATGGTTGTCCAAAGCCATTCTGGGAAATGTAGGAGCAGACAAAACACAGCACATCATTACAAGTGTGTGCCGAGCATCCCAAACTGATTACTATTGGTGTAATAAGTAGTTGTTTTCTTGCACCTTGCCATTTTGAATGTCTCACTAGCACTTTCTAAATGTGCCCCACACATACACAAATATATGAACCCCCAGCTTTCAGCTTCCTGATGTTGCAATCACTTGAACATTAATCATTCTGCTGAACTGACCTTTTATTAATCAGCAGCTTTGTCTGTGCATGCTGCCCCAGCATGATAGCATGCTGATGTGTGTTTTTGGCCTCTGTGAGGATGTGAGTGGCACTGGCTCCAGCTACGGCTGTCTACCTGTACAATAGCTTACTGTTTAAGCCCTGGTATCTCAGTGGGCAGGTGGAAGTTTACTGTTTGATGTCCTCAGTGTGGCCGCAGTCGGGTATGTGTGCAGTAGACAGGAGGCTTTGTCCTGTGAGTGATTGGGGATTAGGACCAGTGACAGGCCCTGGTCTTATCGGTTGGCTAGTCCCCCCATGTCTGCCCATGCACCATCTCCCTTGGCGAGGCTGACTTGGGGGATATGAGAGCCCACTGAAGCAGGGATGGACGGGCCGATTGGGTGGCTGGATGGCCCCGATGGAACACACACACACGAACAAGGAGGAGCTCATCTTGATTGGTGTCCTCTGAGCTGTCTTCTTCCTGCTTCACTGACAGCCACAGCCACTCTCACTGAGACACGCTGCGGTGCACAAGCTGAAGTAGGCTAAATGTGAGTGTATGATTAGAATGCACCCAGGCTTTGATTGCTTTTCACAGAGCATGTTAATTAGAAACCACTGCTAGACGCTGATTCAGCAGCTCGTTGTCTTCCCTTAATAGAGGCAGACCATCATGAGGACAGTCCAGCTCTGTAAGTGCCAGAGAGGACCAGAAGATCTGACCCATTGTGCCGGCTGCTTCTGCCAGCAGAATCCACTTAGCGGGCCACATTAGCCGCACATATCTCCATTGACTGGACTCACTGCTGACAGCAGGGACAGCATTAAAAACTTGGGTTTAATCACTGGGGCTGTGTTGGTGTGTGCTGGCTTATGGCCACGTGCATAGCGGACAGGATTCAGCACCGTGCACTGATTGCATCAGTGGCACGTGGACCTTCTTAATTAGCAGTTTATTTTAATGTGATCTCACATTAATGTGTAAAGATTTATAAATTACACAAAATGATTTCCAACTGTCATCTATATGTGCATTTCTATAAAAAAAGCAGCATCTCTTCTAGGTCTGCCTAGTTTTGTAGTTTATAAAATAATACAAATAGTGAACCTGCTAAACACAGTTGCCCAAAATTGCATTGTTCATTGCAATTGCTGTTTCTCTTTTTCTGTTAGATGAGTCCAGGGAAATAGTTTGTCTTTATTAACCAGCTGTGAATGTGTATTGTTAATTCTTTTTGTGTTAACTTTATTGATCCCTGAAGGAAGATATTTCCCCAGCTCAAATAATTACCCAGTGTTAACACCCTGAGGCTCGAAGGGCACTCCAGCTGGTCAGATGCCTGCTGATGTGAGCTTGAACTTGGGCATCCCCAACAGAATGACCTTAAAAAGAGGTGTGATAGTCTAACAGGTTTTAGTTACAAACAGAAAACTTGTTCAAAATTGAAATACCACCCTTCTTGGTTTCAAACTCATTTAACTTTAGGAATATGCATTATTAAATTGGCAGAATAATTTTACAAAAAAAATTGAAAGACAGACTTGTTATTGGCTGTAAGTCCTTTGTTCTTAAAATGTTGGACAAAGTGAGACTGGTTACTAATGTAAGAATCACTTAAATTGCATTATGTCCCTATATCTTTTCATTGCCTTCGCATGATATATTTTAAAATATTAGTGGGATTATGGTCACAATTATTGAAATTCAAAGAAGCCTGATCAAAAATGTTTGTTACATATTTATGTCAAAACGATTAGCATCAGTCGAGGAGCTTCAGGAACTAGTATTTAGACCCCTTCACTTTCTGCACTTTGCTGTGTTGTAGACTTAATTTCAGAGTATCATATTACCATTTCTGCCCTTCATCTACACTCCTTAATCCATAATGATGGATAAATTGCTTGCAAATTTACATTTAAAATAAAAAATGTCATGCATCAGATTATGAATACATTGGTTATATAGCATATACGGCTTAGAGCTGTGGAATAGGGAGGATTAAACAAAAGTGTTCCCCCTTTCTCCCCCAGTGCTGATTCCAGTACTTTATCTCAGCCAGTACCAGTTCTTTTTCTCCAAAGATAGATCTGTATACATCAGTGCACGGAAATCATTAGGATCATTTGCATTTAGGAGAAAGTGTGGCCAGGGGTTTCTGGCTTGCCACACTGAGTGATGGTAATTGAAAAACTGTACTTGATGTGCATCATTCATGGCTCATTCTCCATGTGGCGTATTAGATGGTTGCATCCCTACTTCATGTATTTGTGTTCAGGAGTAATTTTGTCCTGTGATTACATTGGAGAGCAGATGACTGCTAAGTTCAAACTGTCTCCATTTCTGGCTGTCATCTTCCTTTAGAGAGAAAACTCCCCGCCGCTTCTCTTTGCTCTCACTCCGATGGACCCGACTTGAAGACAGCTCCTCATCGGCTCCTTCGTTAAAGACTTTTTTTTTTAGTCACGGCTAAATCCACACCGTCCTCCTGCAGCTGTGTAATTGCACATTCTTCTGGGGATCAAAGTGTGAAATGGCACCCCCAACACCACCACCGACACAGCAGCCTCAGTGAATTTAGCTTCACTAATCGCCCCGGTGCTTCACCGTTCTTGTGTGGTGTCATGTTTGCGCTCCAAAGGGGGTGGTGGGGGGTGGTGGAATATCTTTTAAATAGTGGGGGGCTTAGTGGCATAATTTGCAGGGAATTTACTCCTCTAACCGTCATGGTAATTCTCCTCTGCTGCCTGACTTTTGTATTATATTTCACGGGAAGAGTTCAGAACACAAAGGGCAATTCTCAGGGATTGAAAATGATGGACTTCAGAGGAGTTTTTCTGTTTTTGTTCTCTATAGATTACTGTGAAGTGTCATACATTGAACCCTTTTTCATCACAAGAACTAGAGGAAACCATTTCCTAAGGCCTTGTGAGGCACATGAAGAAAGCTAGGTGATGCTAATTAACACTCTAGCATTGTTGTGCTCTAATCCACTGATATGAATTAATCCTTCCCCCTGAAAATCACACTAATGCTTTCTATTTCCCTCATTTGCTGTTGCTGTCATACACACAAACACATGAACTGTGTCAGTGAGAGGCAGAAGAATGCCTGCAGTTTGTCAGGCTGGACCAGTTTTTCTGGTGAGGTTTGCACTGATGGCTCAGGTCCACCTGTACAGCCTTTGATTTCAGCATCTCCATCCCATGTGCTGCTCTGTAGTAAACATGTTTAAATGGAGCTAATTAAATGCAGTGAAAACATATTAGTTTCAAGTCAGGTCCAGTTTAGCTGACTATTCATCAGCATCAGAACAACTTCAGGAATTGTGAGACAGTTTATATCAGTTAGTTAAGGCCACTTTATTAAATCATGATGGCTAATAGGTACTGGTTACAGTAATGTTAGCCTTGCTTTCAAGGCTGTCACCTTGCACTTACCTTCCATGTTTTAATGGTGCTTTGCTGTTATCCCACTTTGCTTCTCTTCACCTGACGTTTGTTGACAAGCCCAGCTAACAGATTTTATGTTAAGATTTGATAACAATGCAGGGAGAATTCAAGACAGTGGGACATCTATTAACGCCAGGTGTAAAAGCACAGGCCTGTGGTATTATCTAGATGTTTTCAAAGATTTACATACAGTAACAATACCAGGTGGAATGGGGGCTAAGTGATTATGATTTTCATCATGAGCATTATTATTATAATCACTTATTTCTGTGTCCTGCTGTGTTTGTATGTTAAAACAGTTTCATGTTTTTTTTTGTTTGTTTGTTTTTGTGACAGGACACTCGGGGCTCAGATTAAATGGACTGAATACCTGTTTGCACAATGCTCTTACACTCTGTGAAAACTGCAGTGTAATTGTATGCTAGTTGTAGTTGCAGATTACTTGCTCCTCCTGTCTCTCACAGCTCTGGCGTTGGTATTATGGAAACTTCTGCAAGAAAGGGAGGTTCTGGCTTTATCCCTGTGATTGAAATCCCTGGCTCTCCCAAACATTTGTTTTATGAAAATGGACTTGGCCCATTGTGAAAGGCAGACACCTTCTTTTTTGTGCCCGTAATTCACATTGAGATGCAGCGAAGCAAGAATGAGCCCATTCACATACAAGGCTCAGTGATAGATAGAGCAGAAGCCACTCGCTGTGTCTCAGCCAAACTCATTCCAACCTTCAAGCCTATAGCTGTTCATTTAGCTGCTAATGTAGCCACGTGTTGCTCTGGACAGATTGCTTGTTGTACGAGTAGTTCAAATTATGCCGTTTTCTACTGTATCCATGTTGGAAACGACAAAGCTTGTCAAAGTTTTCTTTTCCTGGTTTTGTTAATCCCTTTAATAGAAATTGGGAGGGAAATGGTAAATATTTAACCTGGAGTTGCATTGTTTTCTCACTTTATTCATAGTTTTTGTAAAAGTATCACCAATCTTATCTTAATTTGTCAATGATGTGCACAGCAACACATTTGTGTGGGCTAAAGAAAGGGGAAGATGCCATGTTCACTCATTTCTCAGTTGATTTTGTTGTGTAACCTCTACACAGATTTCAGATTGCAGCTAAGTCAAAAGTCCTTGTTTTCTTTGTTAATGGCTCAGTGTGTTTCTTGCTCTGTGGGGTGTGTTCACTTTGACCTCTGTCCTCATGGTGACAGTGAAAGCAGCCTGGAATGTATGCACCATTTCTCCCCACAGAGCAGCAAAAGTGGAAATGTTCCTGTCCTCCCCCATCTCACACTGCACTTTGTAAACCCAGTGTTGTGTACAGTGTAATGTAGGTCATCTGTTCCTACTGCACCTGCCAAGGCAACAGGGAAACCTGCTGTTATCTCTGCATATACACATGATTATGTTTGTGTGTTGACGCTCAGTATTGTCACATTTGTTGCTGTAAATGTACTATTGTTGTGGTTGAGCTAATTTTAATATATCTTGTATTAAAACAATGACTGGTTAAAACTAATTTTGGCTGTTACAAAAATTGCCAACTTAATCAGAGTAAAGAAAACAAATCATCTAAAGTTTTAAAATTTGCACCATTGTCCACTGCATCAAGAGATTTTAAAGCTACAGATACCTCAGTGTAAACAATATAGCAACCTTTCTTCTGCAAATCAAAGCCCTTACAGATCCTTGTACATCATGATTGCCTCACTTGCGATGCTTGCTTTAATTGCAGTATGACCAGTTAAAGAATTTGCTAATCAAAAATGTTTGCTGACTTTGTGTCCAGCATGGGGAGAGTGCCATGATGATCCACCACTTGGAGTATGCTGAAGGAGGGATCCTGGACATGGATGACCTGCTGGGTGATCTGGTGGAAGACCGAGACAGGGTGAGGATTCGTGGATAATGTGCTGTGTCTTGTGTTTGAGCACTTTTGTTTTCTTTAGTTCAAACTAGGGTGTGAAGTTCTAGTCTCACATAAGCATCTTTAAGATATGCACCCCTAGCCAGGAATTTGCCGGCTGTTTCACATCTAGGCATCATGTCTGAACAAAGCCCCGAGTTGTAAAGCTGGCAAAGTGTTTACCTGGTTGGACCTAGTCAAATAGCCGGCTATGTTCTAACTGGCTACATGTCTGATTTGAAGTGGCCAAATTGCCAACAAGGTTGTTGTCAAGATGACAACATTTTCTCAGTTTCCCTCCTTTGTCCTCACTAACACAGCTCCCTCTCTTCCTTCACTATATAGCTTGCTTGACCAACGCTGGGCTCTCTCTTCGTTACTCTGTCTCGTGGTGTATATTTCGGGCAGGCAATGAAATCTGGGCATAAAGATAAAAAGAACGTAACATTGCTGGCTAGTATAAGTTTATTTTGAGAAGGTACAGTTTAGTAGAATGAACTAACGCTGAATGGCTGAAAATTGGGTTGACATGGAAATGAAAGGACTGCTCACGCTGCACAGAGGAATAATGGTGTGTTTGCCTTGCATGATGTTAGATATTGAATGAACATTGTGGCTGTACCTGGCTAGGTCCTGCTATGTGTGAACAGTCTTTTTGGGAATTTTGGGCACAGAAGTTTTATGTCTGAATGCCCAAAATGCAACTGCTACATGTAGCTCGTAAAATTCCATGGTACTGTGTCTGAAAGGGCCGATAGTTTTGTTCTGTCCTTGCTCTTATCTACCCTTCAACACACATATTGGTTGACACCTGAAAGCTTAGCATAACAAAAAGAGCTGTGATGCCGATAGTAAGCTATTTCTTGAATGCTTCTACCTGGTGCAAAGTACAGTAAATTACAGCAGGCCATTTGTCATTCTTAGCTGTGGTTAGAGGATTTGTTTTGATTCCCCTGTGAAAGTCTCCAACCTGGCATCATGACAGGATGTCAGATAAACAGGGTATTTTGTAAATTCCAGCCCTGGTTAGCTTGTCACTAGTTGCCTAAACTAAATAAAAAATGTGACAAAATTAGTTTTTCTGCTATGGTTCTGACCAATTAAAGTAAACCCTGATTTTATTTGATTGCATCTTAATTGGCTCCATGGGTGCTCAGTAAGGAAGTGAGCTCACCTCCCCTCTCCCCAAGCCTCCTCCTCTGTGGCTCCACTGAAAGCAGAGTAGGTGACAGTGCTGTGTGATTTAGCTGTCATGTGCATTTGTACTGAGGCAGATGAAAGGACGCCATTTCAGACTTAATGCCATGTGCCGAGGGAAGTTCTCAGAAAACAGCAGTGATGTGACTTCACAGGAGATGGACTGGGAGTTGAAATGTTTCTGCATTTTATACACAGAGAGAGTGGCTCATTTTCTTTATAGAGCAATTTTCATTCCTTTTGCTAATTTCCCATAATGCATTTCTAAGATGTGCTAATAAACTGCCCGAAATCCATATTCATGAGCCCCGGGCCCAGACAAATGATGAATTACCAACACTTAGTCAGCAAGAAGAATAAATGAAATGGAAATGGAATTTTCAGCCGACCCTCGATCACGCAGTAACAACTGGTGTTTTAAGCTTCATGATCAAAGTGTGTGTGTGTGTGTGTGTGTGTGTGTGTGTGTGTGTGCACAGTGTCATGTGCATGTAGGACTGCAAGTTTGGCAGAAATTGGGGACAGAACTTAATAATAGATGTGTAAACTCTGAGGGAATCTTTAACAGAGGAAAAACAGTGTTTTTCCAATCACAGGGAACAGAGGCTTCATTTTCTGGGATGATGGAATTGTAATCATAAGAGCTGCTGTCTTCTTTGTGCATACTGTAAGAGGTTGGGCCATAGGTTTTAATGACTCATTTCCAACCTAAATCTTTCGTTCTTTCCTCAAAGTGTTGAAGTGTCACAGATCAAATCCTGCTCTGGCTTTTGATCAAATGCTATCACTAAGAAGTTAACCTGATGTCAGTTCTCTGCTTCTAGCTGTGGTGCTTTCTGTGATTATGGGCTCTGCTGAGCAAACGCTTTCCTAGAACCTCCGCAATGCAGGAATTGTCCTATTTACCCTTGTTTCTTTATTCTCTCAGCTTTTCACCAAATCCCCCAAATGCCCTTCGAGCTTTCATCTCACTTCTCATTTTATACTTTTGTTTTTTCTGCTGATGAAAAGATAGTAGACAGAATAGGATGAGTACACATGACATGCCAGTCATCCGACTTATCTCCGGGCTTCCAAACAGAGTCGGCTCTCATAGATTAATGAGCTGTGCCTGGCATTCTTGATTAGTCTGGCTTCCCTTTTGTTTGTCTACATTTTTATTACCTTGCCGCAGCCGACAGATTCTATCTTTAGTGCTTTTCTTTTTTTGTTGTGTTATTGTGGCCAGTGCTGATTCATCATCAATCATACAGGAGTGGTCCCATTGTGAGGGCCCTCAACCGCACAGCATGGGCCCTGTGTTAGCCATGGATACTAATGGGAGATAATGGTTGGCTATTTGTACGCCTAGTGGTTAACTTAGCCGTGGGTCCAGACCTCTTTATCTGGGCTAGCCCCTGACTATTATTCAGCACACACACACACACACATATCTCTGTTGTCTGTGCAGCCTGTGCCAAACCACAGGCAATCATGTAGCACATCATGTTAGCATTAGCATGTATGGAAGGAGCGCCACTGGTGGTTGATGAGGATGAAGATGAGGGGGCGGCTGTGATTTGATTACAGTTCTGCCCCCTGTGTGTGTGACATGCACACATGCACAAACTTACACACACACACCAACATGTGTATATACACTCATTCATTAGCCCCCCCCCATCTCAAGACACCGGCCACCAGCCTCCTCATGAATATTAATATCAATCTGATGAATGAGAAGAAGGCCATGGGGCTTAGGTGTGACCACGTATACAGAGCACATATTCGGAGACACAAAAGATCACAGTTCAGTCAGTCTTACTCTGTGAAGCTCTCCTGCTCTTTGACCCTTAGCTGTGTGTGTGTACTCTGCAGCTCTCTGATGACAGTTTGACCTGTTAGACAGCATGCTATTAATGGAGAGGAGAACCAGGAGACACAAAAGTCATTTTGGTCAAATCACTGTAGTTGAGAGACTAGTTAACCTGCTTTATCCTCATCACTCCATTTCTGTCTTTTTCAGTTATGTACTTCTCCACTCACACACGGTGTGAGCTTGTATGTGACTGTGGGGTTGGGGAATGTGATGATAATTATCATGAGCCAATAAAAAGTTGTCAGCCATCATTGACACTATTGCATATGCATGATTTTTGCATCTGTGTGAGGTATCTTTGTCTGGTGTTGATTAAACCAAAAAGAGACATTTTCATCTTTGTTTTACTTTTCTTTGCCATTCCTTAAGTTTTTTCCTCCATCTCACCCTTGCTTCACCATTTCTCCCCACACCCTCTATTCAAAAGCAGTTATTAACAGATGTAGTGCCTGAATATTTTCTGAAGCAACACATGGCTGCTGCTGTTTCTTCTTGACAGTGGTACTTGGCTAAGAATGCTGCTGGGTGACATAAAAATGAAACTCCGTATACATGCTGCTTGATTAGAAGACCTTCTCCCATCATGCCTCTGCTTCCCCCACACACAGCTGAAATTTCAATGTTTTAACATGTGTGAGTGTCCTCTCTTGTCACGCCGATCTCTTCCAGAACTGGAATTAAACTCAGGGAGCATAACATCTCCTCATAAGTGGACTGTCACTCCTCATTTCATGGGCGCGAATATGCATATGCAGTAATCTACATGGACCCCTGTTTTCAAGGGGTATAACATAAAAAATAAAACTCAGCCTACCATCCAATGCAGCCAGACGAGAAATCTCATTTCATGGGAAATTTAATAAAAAAAATGGAATGATTTCTTCCATCTCTCTGTAATTAGCCATTTTTAATCATTGCCTCTACAAGGCATCCATAAACCTGTCTCTGGTTGCTGGTATGTAAATGATAAGTGTGTGTATCACAGCTGATCTACCTCTGAAATGTCAGCAGCTTGATTACAAGGCCACCTCCCATCATCCATCTCTTCTTCCCACATGTCCCAGCAGAGAATGCGAAGCTAGAAAAGTGAATCTATCACACGGAAATGTGTCATAATATTTAAAGTAGGTCTTTTCAATCCTATTAAGAGAAAGTGACACTTCTTTTGAATAATGATCTTATTTAATTTGGTATCATTTATACACCTCATCTTGCAGATTAAACAGATGTGCATGAAAGTGTGCTGCTTTTACATAAATGAAAAGTTACCCAGAAAAGCTAAAAATGTTTGCTCCTTCATACTTTAGTTATGATAATACATTCATTTGGTATTGCAAAAGCCATTTTATTAACCTAAGTGCTGAGATATTGAGCATCTTTACTATACTTTAGAGTTTTTCAGACTGATGCTGTATCAATGTCTGTTAATAAATGGGATTGCATTATATTTGTTGATTCTTCTTTTCTTTTATACAAACATTTTTGCCAACAGTTCCTTAAATTACATTATTTAATGCTAGCCTTACACCAAACAACTTTTCAAGTGATTTCAGTTTCGCTGACAAATTTCCAGTTAGAATAAAATAATGAGAGCCTTGCTACAGTCGTGTCGTGCACCCATCATCTCCATCATTTGGTGTATGGTGCCGATCTGAGCTGTTTTTTTTTTCTTTTCTTGTATTGACATTGCAATAAAATCAACCATGTTTAATATTATCATAAGTCTTTAGTCTTGGCTCATGGAAACAGTGATGTAAATGTCATTGACAACCAAGAGGTGAACTGTCTCCAGCACCAGACAGGAAGCGGCGTAGCAGGCACAGAAAAAGCGGTAAATATAAGGGAGACTCTGGTGAGGCACTGGAATGCATGGTTCTGTGGGACACAAAGGAGAAGAAACTGGTGGAGTCGTGGAGTGAGCAAGTGTGCC